ATTTCATCCACCAGCTCTGATTCTATGGCATACATTTCCATCTAATTCACCATCCTTCTGAATTATGGGACCCAAGTAACGGAACATATCACACACTGGTATCTCCTTACCATCAAGAGTAATCCCACTGTTGCTACTACTTCTACCCCCACCGAACTTGCACTCCATATACTCAGTCTTGCTTCGGCTCAGTCTGAAACCCTTGGTCTCCAATGTTTGTCGCCATACTTCCAACATTGTTTTAACACCGGATTGTGTCTCATCTATCAATACAATATCGTCGGTAAACATCATGCACCACGGTATTGTTGGAAAAATGTGTTAAAATTGCATTAAATGGTCATTTTGGGGCAATTATTTGAGTGAGGTCAACTTCCGATTTGGGTCGGGTCAAAGTGGTTTCGGATTGTCCTTGTTAAGGGATACAATTCGATATGTGGTACACTCAAAACGGATAACAGGTGAATGAGAAATTGATTCTCGAAGTTCACTCATTGAAATGGAAAAACTCGGAAAATGATGGGTTTCTAGTGTGTTTTATCCCACACCGGAAAACTCAATGGATTTTCACCCCCTTATAAAGGGAAGCCTCTTTTAAGGAGTTAAGATTCCTAAAGGTAAAGGCTCTCTCTCTTACGTGCAGGGGGGTGCCGATCAAATCTCGAAAGGGAGAAGAAAAACCGCGACTCGTGTGCGCGGGCGACCTGCGGACACGAATGCCGTCCGAAAAATCTATCATTCAAAGCTGGCAGGTGGTTTGCAACAAGACACAACATACAATATATTCCTCACGTTTTCTTGAGCTAAAAACATTTCCAGCTACTCCGAAATTTCCTAAGTGTTCATACTGTGTTCCAGTTCGCCGGAACTTTCGTTTGTGTGCTCAAACGATCATTCGTTTGCCACCGTATCCTGGGAAACGGTCGTTGCAACGCTCCTAGCACCGTGGGAGGTGACGAATACGTTTTTAGGACATCGTGCGTAGCACGAGCTCTGGCTAAAATCTGCTCCATCTTATTTTCTGTTTTCTTTTAGCTATTTTATTTATTAATTAATTTTATTTAATTAATATTTCTTTGTTTTTCCGAAACACACCCAACAGGTATATCTTCTTGAATTGACTTCGTAAGTTCATCCATGACTATAGCAAATAAGAAAAGACTCAGAGCAGATCCTTGGTGCACTCCGATAGTAATAGGGAACTCTGCAGTCCTCCCTACACTAGTGCGAACACTTGTAGTACAAGCATCATACATATCCATGATGATACTTATATACTTACGTCATATGCCTTTTCTAGTTAAGGCCCACCAAAGAACTTCTCAAGGTACCCTGTCATATGCTTTTTCTAAGTCAATGAACACCAAATGCAGATCCTTTTTAGCGTCTCTATACTTCTCCACAACTTGTCTAAGAAGGTGAATGACCTCCGTTGTTGAGCGTCCAAGCATAAAACCAAATTGATTCTCCGAAATTTTCACACTTTTACGAAGTCTTAGTTCAACCACTCGCTCCCAAAATTTCATGGTGTGACTCATAAGCTTAATTCCTCGATAGTTACCACATTCTTGTACATCCCGATCACGTCATCACCCTTATTTTTATATAAGGGAAGGAGAGCACTCTTTCGCCAACTCACTGGTATTTTGTTGATTCGTCCGAAATTCTATCTTTCAAAGGCTTCGGACAGAACTCTTCTGATTGGCTTCTGAAACATTACTGCAGTTAATGTCCAACGTTCTGCAACATTAAATGGACAGTTCATGGACGAATCAATGCCCAACGGTCTAGTCGTTGATGTCCAACGCTCATGTCCTTTAATACCCCATTAACACACAATAAAGTCTCCTCTATTAAGTAGCTGACAGGTGCTTTGCAACAACATAACACACAACAAAGTGTTCACGTTCTTTTCGGACTAAAAACACACCCCCAGTTTTCATAAACTTCCTAAGTGTTCTGTCTTTTGCTTCCGTTCGTCGGAACTGTTGTGCTCAAACGTTCGTTCTTTTGCCACGGTATCCTGGGAAACTATCATTGCAACGCTCCTAGCACCGTGGGAGGCAACGAATATGTTTTAAGGACATTGTGCGTTGCACAGGCTTTGGCAATTTTCTGTTCCACCTTATTTCTTTTTTCTTTGGCTGTTTTAATTAATTTTTATTAATTAATTTTTCTTTGTTTTCAGAGTTCACACCAACAATCTTAAAATGTATTCGGTGATTGTTTTACTATGGTAACAATCTTAAAACGTAGTTTGCCACTGTTGTGAACGAACTTGATTTTTGTGTGTGTGTTTTTCGGTCCCAAGGGAGGCGTTTCCAAACTCAATTTTAATGGAAAATGCTTCAATTGCAATAAAAACGGACACAAATACGCGGATTGCAAGGCACCCAAGAAGAAGAAAGTCTCTCAAGTCAACTTGGTGCAAGGTGGGCAAAAGGATGAAGAAATTATCATTGCGGCCGTAGTGACCAAGGTCGACCTCATTGGACCCAATTCCAAGGAGTGGTTCGTGGACACCGGTGTTACTCGACATATTTGCTCAAACTGAGAATTATTCACAACTTTTGAACCATCAAATGGTGAGAAGGTGTGGATGGACACTCAGCTCATTCTGCAGCGGAAGGTGTGGGCAAGGTGGTCCTGAAGATGACTTCGGGTAAGGAGCCGACTCTCAACCAAGTGTTGTTCGTATCGGAGATACGCAAAAATCTGATTTCTGGTTTGTTGTTGAACAAACATGGCTTCCACATGGTTTTTGAGTCAGACAAACTAGTTTTGTCTAAAATGAGAATGTATGTGGGCAAGGGGTATACATGTGATGGGTTGTTTAAGCTCAATGCGAGTAAGTAAACATGTCTTTACAGCAGAAGGTTCAAAGAAAAAACATACCTCTCTGCATGCAGGGATCATCCTGTGAACACAACGTGTCCTCCTATCTTCGTGTCTTTTTAAGTCTCGAAAATCAATTTTCATTCATGTGGAGGATTAATGGAAAACGTGTTAATAAAATTGCATTAAATGGTCAATTTTGGGCAATATTTTGAGTGGGGTCCACTTCCAATTTGGGTCGGGTCAAAGTGGTTTCGGATCATCCTTGTTAAGGGCTACAATTCGATATGTGGTACACTCAAAACGGATAACGGGTGAGTGAGAAATTTATTCTCGAAGTTCACTCGTTAAAATGGAGAAACCGAGGACTTGCGTGCGCGGGCGATCTGCGGACACAAACTGGACAACAATAATTCCCAAAACATGTCACCATATGTTTAATATCCTTGAAAATATAATAATATCATTATAATGCAATCTCTTCATGTGTGCTATTCCTTTCATCTACTCTTGTTAATGACAACATCCTTAATTGGGATAGGACTCGAACCTGCAACCTTCTCTATGGGAGATCAACAGTGATGTCATCAGACCACAAGGTACTTGGTAATACATATTTGACTTAGAGCCCATTTGGTGACATGTTTTTTGGCTTATCGGGCTTATCAGCCAGTTTTTTCACCAAACACGTAACTTTTGATTTCGCGCGCTGAAGTTTGTAATAAACAGAAAAAGTAAGGTTGGAGTTACATTTCTGGTTGTATTGGCTGAATTTACTGTAGAGAATCATTTTAGCTATTTTTTCATATAATTTTTTATTTAATTTATTAATAACAAATATTTTAAATATAATTCTTTTACGAATCAGCCAATATAGCCACTTCAACCAGAACTTCATAAATTTCATCAGAATCAGCCAATTCAGCCAAATTTAGTGTTACCAAACGAGCTCTTAGATAACAAAAGAATACACAATAGAAGACCGTAGTACCTTAGAAGTTGTTCTATTCGTAAGATACTTCCTCCGGTTCTTATTTAAGTTCCCAGTTTGACTTCACACATATTAAGAAAATGAATTTGACTTTACTATGGAGTGCACTGTTTGGCACTGTTTGGACACTGTTTTGCACTGTTTTGCACTGTTTTGTTTCCTAAAATGGAAGTGTGAATTTAAATAAGGGACATCCCAAAAAGGAAAGTGGGAACTTTAATAAGAACCGGAGGGAGTATGAATATTTTTTATTTGAACGTTTTAAAGATTTCTTCTGATTTGATCTAAATTTTTATGATCTGGTTTGATCTGATCTGAATTTTTTGGGTGATCTCATTTGAATAATTTGATCTGACTTGTTCTAATCTGAGTCTTTATGATATAATATGGTCTAATCTGAAACTTTCTAATCTGATACTCCCCCCGTCCCGAAAAGGTCGGCCAAAGTTTACTTTCACGTGGATTAATAAAGTAAAAAATGTGTGGTTAAAATTTGTGCAGAGGAGAGAGAATTAATTTTAGCCACATATTTCTTACGTTAAATGGAAATGTCAAATCTTTTTGGGACATCCAAAAAGGGAAATTTGGCCAACCTTTTCGGGACGGATGGAGTATGATTTAATCTAAATTTTTGTAACCCGATCTGAATAAAAAAGGCCATGTGAATAAGATGAATAGAACAACTCCTGATTACTAGACTAGGAGTCCGTTTGGTAACATTGAAATCGGCTGAATCGATTGATTTTGCTGAAATTTATGAAGTTCTGGGTGAAGTGACTGTATTGGCCGATACTGCCGATTTATGAAAAAATATGTTTAAAATATACTCCGTATTTTATTAAAAAAATAAAGAAAAAGTTATATGAAAAAATAGCTAACATGATCATCTACAGTAACTTCAACCAATACGGTGAGAAAATTAACTTCAACCTTACTTTTTTCTTATTATTACACAATTCAACACGCGAAATCAATAATATATATTTAGTTAAAAAAATTGTCTAGTAAACCCGATTAGCCGAAAAACAGAGTTATCAAACGAGTTCTATATTTAAATGAATTCCTTTAAATGAATTCCTTATGTAATTTGTTTATGTTTACTTATTATACGGGGGGGCTTCCGTATCATATTTAAAACCGGGCCGGGCCTTTAAAATCTATTGACGATAAAGTATATAGTTATATGCTTGCCCTACGACGTAAGGTATTTACAATTTACACCATATATAAATATTATTATGCAGAATATTATTATTATAATTAATAATTAATTATATATATTCAATCATTGATAATTGAGTAGGGACTAGGGAAGTGAATCTATACGCAGTATATATTTCCACTCTCAGATGATCAGAAACCACATCGCGCCGACTCTCGATTTATTGTAGCACTTCTTCGATCCCAGGCATGCAATAATCCCTTCTTCACTTTCTTCTTTTCCTTTCATTCTCATGCATTTTCTTATTTTTCATCACCTTAATTGATTATAATTTATACATATACTAAAAAACGACCAATTTTTTTATACATACTGGAGTACGTCGTGATCTGGTCTAGATTTTGTGTTTCTTTGAATCTTGAAAAGTGCGTGGAACTAATTAAATGTGTTTTTGTTGGTAAATTTACTAATTATGATTTATGGTAATATTACACGCAAATTATATATCATATGTGAACATGTAGAGATTAAGAAGTGTTTAAAGTGTAAAATAAGGGACAAGTGGGAACTAGACTAGGGTAGGGTTTTATCACACTATATATATATAGAGAGAGAGTGAGTATGTTTGGGAAAAAGTTGAAAATTTGTTGTGTAAATTGATTGACACAGGTGTTTTAATTTGATATCAACTCCACTTGAAAGAATCGTATGTTAGTGGATCTTGTGATAAGCAACATAATTTACATGGGTAAATAAATCCATTATGAATCATGTGTAATAAGAAACGTTTGTGTTTACTTTGAGTTTTTTTTAATAATTTGTTTCAGAGATTGAATGAATAAACGTTAATTTTTAAAAAATTAGTTTTTGTGTCCCTTAAGACTTTGTTAAACTCCTGGTTGTTCAACTATCTTTGTCACTTTCCTTTTTAGTAAAGAAATTGTGATTTCAGTTAATTCTCTATGCACGCACAAACATCTACCACACAGTTTTTACTTTATTAAAAACATGGTGAAGTTTTAAGGGATGGAGGGAGTATATTACTTCAGTCCCACTAAGAACAAGAAGAGGTGACGGGGTTATTAACAAAAATGTGTTTTTGTGGTTGATATTGAATTGATAAATTAAGAATAAACTAAGAATGATTTAGAGCCACACAAACTTTACTATGAGAGAATCTTAGTGAAATTTCACCGAAAAGATAAAATGGAACGATCTTAGCGGGATGGAAGAAGTAAGAATTAACAAGTTTGTCGACAAAGTATTTTTTCCGTAATGGGAAAACTGTTATACATGCCCTCCTATTATGAGTGTTTTTCGTTTTGTAATTGAAAGAGTGAGGCAGTTTTATTGTTTCAAGTCCCTATCTCATGCGTACGTTAGTACGGAGTATGTTTAACTACTTTTTCCACTACGAATTGAATTGCAAACTTTGACCGTCACAAAGATTAAGAAATGACAATAAATGATGTTTTCTTTTTACACTTTTACCCATCTTTCTAAAAGTAGATGTCTTTAAGTTGATGGGAAAAAGTAAAAGTAAGAGTAAATTTGTCATTTTATTCTTATTTACATACCTAAAATAGAAAGTGGAAAATCATTTTGGGACAAACAAAAAAGGAAATTTTGCAAATAAAATTGGGACGGAGGGAGTATTAGCTTTAGACTTCTTGTAGAGTGTTTGTTGTTTGGTCCAAAAGGTGGAATCTCCCACCCCAGGAGTCCCCCATACCCCGACCCGACGGGATTTTTGGGGGGATGTTAATCACGGTGACTCAGTCGGCCAATGATGGTAGGCTTTTTTCCCGTGCGCACCAGAGGCCCAGCCTTATTTCAGGTTCTGTGACATCCACACAGCCGTTGCGGGTTTCGAACCTTGGTCACTTGGTCCAAATTTCCCATCACTGAACCAACTGAGCTACCCGTGCGGGTTAGAGTGTTTGTTGTTGGTTTTATTTTAAGAAGTGTTTTTAAAGAAAATTGATCATAGTAAATGTTGATACTGTTGGATAAAATGCTTTTCAGAAAAATAAAAATTGGTAAAGTCAGAGCATGTTTGGTAACATTGAAATCAGTTGAATCGGTTAATTCTGCTGAAATTTATGAAGTTCTGGCTGAAGTGGCTGTATTGGCTGATTCTGCTGATTTATGGAAAAAAAATATTTCAAATATATTTTATTTATAAAATAAAGAAAAAAATATATGAAAAATAGCTACCATGGTCATCTACATTAACTTCAGCCAATACAACCAGAAAAGTAACTTCAACCTTACTTTTTCTTATTATTGCACAATTCAAGGTGATAAATCAAAAGTTACGAGTTTGATTAAGAAGTTGATTGATAAAAAAAAAGTTGATTGATAAGCCTGATTAAGACAAAAACAAAATCACCAAAGGGATCTCCGTGAACAAGTGAAAATCAATTTAAACACTCACTTGCTTCTAGTTTTTAGCTTTAAAGTCCTAAACTTATGAACAACTTGTCCTTTGAGAACATCAATTTTGACATATCTTCTAGCAAAATGATGAAAACATCTATTAATAAATCTTTTGCACACACTCTGTTAGTCTGAAATATAAGCACTTGTTTGAATGAAAATTTCCCTTTGTACACGTTTTGCGTATTGTAATACACTAAAGCTACTGTAAACCCTCTTGTAGTCAATTCAATGATTGTGATTAGTATAAAGCATTTAAGAATATGAGTATATATACTAATATAGAGTGTCTATATTAAGTTAATACACAAAGAAAAATTATAAAGGTACACGCTTTTTTGTGTACACACTTTTTACACATGTCTGTGTAAGTTTTTTTTATGTCTGTACAGATATAACGTATTTTTAAAATACGTTATGTCTGTACAGACATAAAAAAAACCTTACAAAAAAGTGTGTACACAAAAAGTGTGTACCTCAAGTCCAACTCTTACAGAAATGTCATTTTAGGGTGATATGACCTTCCGACTCGAATACAAAATGCGAATGTAAGAAGTGAGTAATGATCTGTCCAGTCGGATAGACAAGATCTTCTGTTCGGATGTTATTGTTTTGGAGTGGTTTCTAGTGAAATTTTTTGATAATTTTTTTTGAACATGTTATTCATGAAGTTAGATTATGTCCATAAAAATTAAGTTTAAAATTCAATCGGAAAGAGTGTTAAATAAGTTATTGAAAACACTGCACCAAACTATAAACGCAGTATTTTTCAATTATTTATTTAATTAATAGACTTTCTCCCGAATGAATTTTAAGCTGAAATATTGTGAACATAATCTTCTATTGTAAATTACGCTTACATTTTATTTCCTATTGTACAGATATTAAATTAGCAGAGAAATTGGAATGGGAACGGAAATTGAAAAAGAATCAGATTTAGGTGGAGGGGTTAAGAGAAGAATGTGCTCATGTACTAAAGATGATTTTCTCCCCGAGGAGTCCTTCAAGAGTTGGGGAAACTACATTAATGCTTTGAAGGAAACTCCAATGAGGTTGGCGGATCGGGTGTTAACCCGATCCACCGATGAGATGGAGTTGGCGGCGAGATCCCAAAGCAAGAATGAGATGAAGAGAACACTCTCTTGGTGGGACCTCATGTGGTTTGGCATGGGATCCGTCATAGGTGCTGGAATATTCGTTTTAACTGGAATCGAAGCGAGGGAAGACGTCGGACCGGCTGTTGTCCTCTCTTACGGAGTCTCTGGGCTCTCTGCCTTGCTTTCTGTCTTTTGCTATACCGAATTCGCTGTGGAGATTCCTGTTGCAGGTAATACTAACCTAAAAAGTTTATAGAGCACATTAATGTACTCTTCTCTACTGTTTCCGTGCTACATAGGTAAAAGTAATAAAAACACTTATTTCTAAAGTTGTTTCCTAATTAATTAAATTAAGCTATCAATTGACTTCGCTTTCTCCATTTAATATCTTCATGTGCCATCATCGTGGCTCTCGAACCATCAAGTCCACATTGGGAAGTAAAATAGTGAAAGAATGGCAAAACATACTTCGTAACAAAATATAGTACACGTCGAAATTATTAGGCTAAAGGGTCAAATAGGTCCCTGTACTCATATCAATAGCTCAATTGGGTACCCGAACTAAAAAAAGGTTCAATCCAATCCTCCAACTCTTTAAAATCGTTCAATTTTTTCGTTTAGCCGGTAAACTCCCGGTACTCAATTGAGCTATTGATATGAGTACAGGGACCTATTTGACCCTTTAGCCTTTGAAAAAACGAAAAAATTGAACGATTTTGAAGAGTTGGAGGATTGGATTGGACCTTTTTTTAGTTCGGGTACCCAATTGAGCTATTGATATGAGTACAGGGACCTATTTGACCCTTAGCCAAATTATTACTCCTTCCGTCCTTAATAATTTTGTCAAGTTTGACCGACACAAGAAATAATAAAGTAAAAACTGTGTGGTTGAGGTCTGTACAGAGAAGAGAGAATGAATTGGAACCACAAATTCTTTACTTAAAAGGGAAAGTGGCAAAATTAGTGGGACATCCCAAAAAAGAAAATTGGCAAAATTAAAAGGGACGAAGGGAGTATTTATTTTCCATCCTCAATTTATGTAGCTTTTTTTCTTTTTAAACAATCCTGAGAGGACTCACTAATTAACACCTTTCCTTTCATTCTTTAAATGTCTTTAAAAATGTGCAACTATTTTCTCGACGGTTGTTGAAACTTTTCTTAAATGATGAATTATTAGTTTTACATTATTTTAAATATTAGCCTCCAAGCTATAAAAAAATAATGTCAGTTGTATAAATACACTAGAAATTCTAAATCCAACGTTTTATAACTTCTTAAGAAGTTATAAAACGTTGGATTTAGAATTTCTAGTGTATTTATACAACTGACATTATTTTTTTCTAAATGAATATGAACTCAGAATTAGAGAGGAACTAAACAGGAATTACTACATCACTACATCAGAGAGATTGAAAACAAAACGTATTCAGTAGGTACCTAAAGAGTATTTTACAACTCGTTTGGTGACAATAAAATCGGCTTAATTAGTTGATTCTGCTGAAATTTATGAAGTTCTGGCTGAAATGGCTGTATTGGATAATTATGCTGATTTATGAAAAAAAAATTTTTAAACTATATTTTATTCATAAAATAAAGTAATAGCTAAAATGATCATCTACAATAACTTTAGTCAATACAACCAGAAAAGTAAATCTAACCTTATTTTTTCTTATTATCACACAATTCAGCGCGTGAAATCAAAAGTTATGTATTTAGTTAAAAATATGTTGATAAGCCTGAAAAACTGAGTCACCAAACTGATTCTAGCCTACTAAAAATACTTCGGGAGGCAGCACAAATTTTTTGTTTCCAATGCAAGAAATTTTTGGAATGAATCTTTCAAGAAAAATGGAAGGAACTTTTCAAATTATAATACTAGTATAAGTTTAAAAATGCACTTCAACTGTCTTTTACTCTGCATAACTTTGTCAAGTTTAACTGGTACGAGAAATAACAAAGTAAAAAATATGTATATGAGTTTGTGCAAATGAGAGAAAATGATAGTAATAAAGATGTTGGGATAACAAAAAAAATGGCAAAAGTTATTAGAGATGGAGGGAGTAACATATAATAATTAAATAATAAAAGATGTTCTACAACTTTGTAGGACACTTTTACTTTATCAATACTAGCTCCGTCCTAAAAAACTTTGTCATTTTAAAATCTTTGACCAACTATATTTTTTATTGGAAAATTTTATAATATAAAAATTATATGAAAATGTTCTTTGTTAAAAGTACTTTCATCAAAGTATAAAATTTATAACTTTCATAGTATTATACTAATCAAAATCATGATTCAAATTTTATGAAATGACAAAGTTTGTGGGACACACGTAGTATTATTATTTATCAAGTGAACAATTCAATTAAACTTCATTCGATGATCAAATGTGTTAGGGGGATCGTTTGCCTATCTTAGAGTAGAGCTTGGTGACTTCATGGCCTTTATAGCCGCTGGAAACATCCTCTTAGATTACATCATCTCCGGAGCAGCCGTGGCTCGTTCATGGACTTCATACTTAGCCACTTTATTGAACAAGGACCCACAATCCTTTCTCATAACCGCACACGGCCTCGCTGAAGGGTATAACCGCCTAGACCCCATTGCGGTTGTAGTTTGTTTCATCATTTGCATACTTGCAATCATAAGCACAAAAGGCTCTTCGCGTTTCAACTACATTGCCTCAATTGTCCACATGGTTGTGATTCTCTTCATCATAGTCTGCGGCCTCACGAAAGCCAACCCCGAGAACTACACGACACCCTTTATGCCGTTTGGTCCCCGAGGAGTGTTCAAGGCCGCGGCTGTGCTCTACTTCGCCTATGTCGGGTTTGATGCGGTCTCGACCATGGCTGAGGAGACAAAGAATCCCGCGAGAGATATACCCATAGGCTTAGTGGGGTCGATGGTGATCACGACCACTATTTATTGCTTATTAGCGATCACACTTTGTATGATGCAGAAATATGACACCATTGATGCTAACGCACCTTTTTCGATCGCATTCAAGAAAGTTGGGTGGAATTGGGCTCAATACATAGTGGCGTTTGGTGCTCTCAAAGGTAATTCATATCATATGTTTTTTCTCCAAGTATTGGTTTCCTTGTAACTTTTAATTGATCTACTTTGGTCATCACCTTTTTGTGTTGGGTTTCCATTAATTTTGCAGGGATGACCTCAGTTTTGTTGGTTGGGGCGGTTGGGCAAGCTCGTTATCTAACCCACATTGCAAGAAACCACATGATGCCCGCTTGGTTTTCACACGTTGACTCTAAGACCGGGACACCGATCAACGCCACTGCTACGTTGATGGCTGCCACCGCGATTATCGCATTCTTTACGAAGCTCGACATTCTAGCCAACCTCCTCTCAATTGCTACACTCTTCATCTTCATGCTCGTGGCAATTGCTCTTCTAGTGCGGCGTTACTATGCCTCAGGCCAAACTACGGCCTCAGACCGCAACAAATTGATTCTGTTTCTTTTACTCATCCTCGGGTCTTCGATTGGCACCGCAGTTTATTGGATGTTGAGTGGGACTGGTTGGGTTGTTTACTGTGTAACGGTTTCGGTATGGCTTTTTTCCACGGCCGGGATTTGTTTCTTCGTTCCTCATGCTCGGCACCCGAAGTTGTGGGGGGTGCCTTTGGTGCCATGGCTGCCTTCTGCATCAATTGCTATAAACATTTTCCTCCTTGGTTCAATAGATGTTGCATCTTATAAGAGGTTTGCAATTTGGACGGCCTTTCTTTTGGCTTACTATGTTCTTTTTGGGCTTCATTCTTCATATGATGCCGCAAAGGAACTAGAAAGAAAGGAAGAGATTGAAAATAATGTTGAGGTTGGTGGTGCCCATTCAACATCCTAGCTTAGAACTTTTACTATTTTGTTTTTCTTCTTTTTCTTAAAAATAAGCATAGCTTATGTCAAGTGTAACGTAATGGTGTCATGTTGCATTAGTTAATTGACTTTTAGACTTTAGATACTCCTCAGATCAGATATGACAAAGTACTTTATTTTTGGCCTAAAAGTCTCATTTGATATAAAACTTCTTTAATTGAATACCTGACATGTCATACGTTGTTTTTACTTGGACTGTTTTCAATCTCAGATCAAACCAAACCAGACTTAGATGATTATAAAATACACAGAGACCAGACATTTATCAGACCAGCTCAGACTAGACCAGACCGGAAAATTTCAGTCCATGTAAAAACATCCATAATTGTGTCATATTTATAAAATATATGTAATCCTATGTGAGATATAGTTAGATAATTTTGCATGGTTCAATGATAGATGTCTCACACATTGAATTGTGGCAATTGTCGATAAAGAAATGTGGCAAGATGGTCTTAGTTTTATTTCAGTTTCACACATTTCACATATCAATATAAATTAAAGAATAAATGACCTCAATATTACTTCTAGAGTTTGTAGAAACAAAAATATGACTGGATCTCGAATTGACAATAATGTGACCCGTCTTCGTGGCAAACACGCACTCCACCACAAGTCCACATAACCGCATAGTGTTGTTAGCTTTTGCGAGCATCGACCATCTTCATCGCCCGCAAGCACACCTACCGCCTCACCCATTCCCCTTTTCTTCTCATTTATTCTGTCCGCAATCAGAGGCGCACATAAGAGCTCTCACAGCGGACCACCGGCAGAGAGGAGCTCGGACTAGCGACGAGGAGCTCGAACCAGCTACGAGGAGCTCGGACTAGCGACGAGGAGCTTGAACCAGCGACGAGAAGCTCGGACCAGCAGTGAGAAGCTCAGAGCACCGCAGACATCCATCGCTTGCCTCTGATGTCATCATCTTCTCCTTTTTCTGCCCGGAATCCACAGATCTGGGGCTGTGATTGTGCAAATTCAACTTTCTTCTTTTCGGTATCCGCAAATCTGATGGCGTTAGGAGGTTGGGCAGGGCTGGTGGAGTTGGAGGTGGGTTGTGCGAGTGGTGGAGGCTAATCGGTGATTATGTAAGGGTTGGTCGGGGTTGGGGGCTGGTGTGAGGGGTGGGGGCTATTGTGGGGGTGGGGGATGCTGGTTGGGGGCTGGGGTTTGGTGGTCATAGCTGGTGGCCGCCAGCGGTGGCCGGAGGTGGTGGTGGGCTGGCCAGATAGGGGGAAGAGGTGGGCTGGGAGGTGATGCTTAGGGATGGGGTCAATGAGAGTGGTTGCGTTGCCGGATTTGTGGGGTGGTGATGAAGCAGGGGCGGTGGTGGACTGTGAAGGGATGAGGGTGGGCGGTGGTGGACTGTGATGGGATGGCGGGGTGGTTGGGGCGCTTGGGATGCCGGTGGAGTCAAATGATAGGGGGTGGCATTGTTGGGCGATGCCGGTGGCGGACGGTGGCAACCACCATGGTGGCCTGCAGCAACGGAGGTGGTCGGCGGCGGTGGCCGGTGTCACCGCGAAAGTGTTACTTTGGATGTGTCACTATGACTAGTGGAGGCAGTGACACGAGCGATGGCGGGAGCAGTGACACGGGTGATAGCGGCAGTGACATTACTGACATCCGGCAGTGACATGAAAATGGGATAGTGACATGAATATTTGGCTGGCCCTAAATTAAATAGTTGTGATGTTTATAATTTTCATTATTGTTTTTAAATAAATAAACTTACTTCTTATCATTAACTAATATCTTTATAAGTTTATAACTTGGAAGGCTTGCTAAATAACCCATACTTACATTATTTTCCATAAAATAACCAATAACAGTCTCATAACAATCTCATTAAAATACCTATGGTGAATTAGTGATAGAAATTAATTAATCTAAGTCGCAAAAAGCGACTCTTTAGTATATACTACATATAAGTTATCATTAAGAAACTAAGGCTTTGTTTGCAAACACTACTAATAAGTGTTTTTTAACTTTTTAAAGTGATTTTGGAAAAAGTGTTTAATAGTAAAAGTTGGTAGTGTTTGAGAAAAAAGTGATTTTAAAAAGTAAAAGTTGGTAGTGTTTGCTAAAATAAGTGATTTTTGTGTAATAGAAAAAGTAAAAAACATATTCTAGTTTTTAGTTTTTAAGTATTAATTAATTTAAGTAGAAATTGTAACTTGAAAACACTCTTTTAGTTTTTTTAAGCCAAAAGTTGAGACTAAGGGAGTATTTCACCCATACAATATGTACGCATACCGTGTGTAGTCAGTATATTTCATATCCAAGCCGACTTCATATAGTCAGAAAATTAGGCTATCTAGAATAATATACTACCTTTGTTCCAAAATGCTTGAGTCTTCTTTTAAAGTTTGAATCATGATTTTTAGTTTATTATTACAGAAGTCATAAATTTTATATTTTATGAAAGTACTTTTAACAGAGAATATTTTCGTATCATTTTTATATTATAATAATTTTCAATATAAAATATATAGTTGGTCAGAGTCTTAAAGATGATTAAGATTTTTGGGACGGAGATAGTACTATTTTAATAAATGACATTTACTAGTCATCAATTTGAAGAATCTATGAATAATGTACTCAAAATTTACATAAAAGAAGCAATAAAAACTTTTGACGGTGTCTGAAACATTGAATATATAATAACAAGATATTAATTCATTAGTTCATCAATGATCTTATTACATTGAGTCCCACCATAATAAATTATTAACATTGTAGCAGGATTATTTACATTTACATAAAAATTAATACGGAACATTAGAAATTAAACAACACATACAGATGAATGAGGGTTAGTTTACATTTACATAAAAATTAATACAGAGTATTAGACATTAAACAATACATACAGATAAATAAGGGTTAGTCTGAGGGTTCTGAATTCATGATTTCATATGACATCATTATTTAGTTATATTCTTTAATTGCGGAGGAAGGGTTATAGGGGGCAACCATATTTTTCTGAGATATTACCCGAAATAGGACTAAAAAAGTTTGAAAATTTCAAAATAAGACTGTCATGTTTTTATTCCCAAAATATGACTAATTACTACCATGTTTTGGCAGTTACAGACTTCAAACATGGCAATATTTTCTAAACATGGCAGTAATTGGTCCTATTTTGGGAATAAAACACATGACAGTCCTATTTTGAAATTTTGAAACTGTTTTAGTCCTATTTCGGGAACTCTCCCTATTTTTTAACTGGCGGTAAATACTTAGGACACGTTTACTTCACGGGTTAGTAAACGGTGCTTATTATGACTCACGTTAATAAGTGGCGCATAAAATAAGAAGTGTTGTAAGCTCATGTTTACTTCAAAGGATTTAAAACACCGTTTAACATTAAAATGTCCAAAATAACACTATAGATATATACACACACAAACATTCATGAACACAAGTATATAATATAATATGTGGGGTCACCTCGTACGCTTAGTCGCTTACCCACACCCCTACCCCGCCCTGTACCCCAACCCCTCACCCTACCCCCAATTCCACACCCTTGACTGATAGAGTATATAGACTCGGACCCCCGGGTCTCACGACTATTGGACCCGGACAGCGGCCCACGAACACTCAACTGATAGCATTTTCATTATTGTACATTATTATTATTATTCAGGTGTTCTAGATTAGCCTTTTATATTATCAGTCCATTTATGTAACCGGGTCTGTCAGGCCCATATTAGATGCCCAGACCCGAATATTCTTCTATATATACTCCCTTAGGAAGTTCTTTTAAACCTAATTTCACAATTCACTATTCATTCATCTTCTTTCCCACATTAGCTCAAATCTCTCCATTTTAATATACTTTGGATACCCTATAATCCATCAATGGTGTTTTCATTGAGAGATTAGAGCAAAATCAAGTGAGATTCCTCCCAAAATATCCAAGAATTCAACCAAACTACAAAAAGAAATCAGTCAAAAACGGATCTGAAAATGTGAAGAACAGCAAAAAAAAATCTAGAAATGAAAGATCTGAGCCGCCGAGCACTGCCGACCCCATCTGCCCTCTGCCGGTGCACCTGCTGAAGTTTGGGACGTCGTACCGGGCCTCGTCGCTGTCGTTCTGAACCCAGCACCGTCGTCGCCCCATGCCTGCTGCTTCCCGTCTAGATCTGCGCCCACCTACTTGTCCGCAGCGTTGTGGAGGTTGATGCTCAACAAATCACCTCCGGTATCCTATTGGTTGCCTTCGCCACTAGAGGATCGGACCTGGGCCACTCCGTAGTCATCTGACTCGGTCACTCGAGCTTAAGATTAAACATCTGCCATTAATGGCGGCCAAAAGTTTCGGGATTGACAAGGCGCGAACAGGTGCGCCCAGATGGATACGGAACTCTCACGCCGGCCAGAAGCATCGTCGTCCCTCATCGACACCTGAGCGAGCATAGCCGGTGCTGACGGAGTCCTGACGACATCGCTTTTGATCGGTGCACTCTGCCTGTAACACCCCCAAATTTCCCTCCCAAAATAATATTTAAATAAGTAGCTAACTTTTATTACTTATTTGAAACTTCCAATTTCTTGCAGCGGAAATAAGCAATAACATGGAAAAGGGGCGTGTTACCGCCACACCCAACCCTAAACTGACTGGATGCTAAGGCTAACCGCCATAAATGTATCTAAAGTAATCATTTAAATTCAACAGTTGAAATAATGAAATCTAAGAGAGTTTATTCTAAATGAGACTACTCTTAAAGTCTTCTAGGAGCGCTCTCAAGGCATCAATCTTCAGATATCACACCATCTGTAACATAAGAAAATAAAAGAAACAAATAACACAAAAATTAGCTTTCGCTAAGTAAATCCCACCCAACCCCGTAAAATAATAGCTTTGTTTGAAAAATAAGCATTTGTATATAATATATACAAAAACGAGTTTCCAATAATTTTGTTTCAAAAAGAATGATAACATTTTCAAAAGGTTTCTTCAATAATTCTTGTAAGTATTCCAAAGAATAATGCTCCAAGTACAAAAATATTTGTTTTTCCTCAAAATAGCTTTATAGCTCCTCCTCCTAGTCATTTAGACGGGCGGTGCTCAAGCGTTACCTCGATTCCTGAGCCCAGTGA